GTGATTGGTCACAGCTTGTCACATGGTACAAGGCTGTTGTGAATAGCCCTGTACCATGTGACGTCTGTGATCATTCACAGATTTCACACATAGTAAGCAATGATGTCAGAAGTGACATCTTGTTCACTACTCAGCATGTGATCACCGATTGGCCAATCAGTGATCACATGATCAGGACCCCACACAGAGGTCCCGTCTGACGATCGGTGTTCCACTGTGTCCGGAGGATCGCGGTACTGCACGCTCCCAAGTAGCGCGCACAAGCAGGGGGTGGGGAGGTAGTTTATAAACGGCCACCCATCCCTGCACTGCCACTTTTTTTTTTGCAGGTTAAAATATTAGCATTTTTTAAATTTTTGTTGCAGGAAAGCATTGCGCCAGTGATCAGCCAATCGCAGGTCTCCAGCAGATTTGTCGGTGCATCTGCAAGCGGATATACTGACAGGAAGAATGAATGAACTACAAGCTGACAGCCACTAAGGCTGCTGGGATTTGTAGTCTCTCAGTCACACATGACTGGGGGAGGGGTGGCGGGGGTAGTGAATTAACATGTTACACCCTGGGGGGGGGGGGTGGGGGGGGGGTTTACACCCTGGGAAGGGGGGGGCAGGGGCAAGTCTGAATGCACATGTTACACCCTGAATGTGGGTGTAACATGTTATGAAAGGTGAACTTCTATATACAGAGTGGGGGGCAGATAGGTCCAGGAGTGTGAGGCTTTATTCCACCACTAGGGGCAGTGTGGTAGCGCACCTTTTGGCTGTGGGTGTCTTTGTTCTCATCTGGAACATTCCTCAGGTCAGCCGTGTCCCTCGATTTCTCCAGCTTTGGTCCGGTTCTGGTCTTGGTTACGGTGCCATGCTTTTCTGTGTGTTCTGGGCCCTCGTGGCAGCTGCTTCCTTCAGCTATACATTCCGTGGCGCTGTCCGCTAAGATCAGATACAGGAAAAGAAACATCAGAGCCGCTGCGGTGGGACGCGTGGCGCCTCTACGGGGATGCTGTCAGTTGGCGTTCACAGAGCGCATATTGGGTGCCTCCTACAGGAAAACTATGTGAGGGCGTTCACAAAGCGTACACCAGGCGCCTCTACAGGAAAACTATGTGAGCGTTCACAAAGCGTACACCGCGCACCTCTACAGGAAAACTATGTGAGCGTTCACAAAGCGTACACCAGGCGCCTCTACGGAAAACTATGTGAGCGTTCACAAAGCGTACACCGCGCACCTCTACAGGAAAACTATGTGAGCGTTCACAAAGCGTACACCGGGCGCCTCTACGGAAAACTATGTGAGCGTTCACAAAGCGTACACCAGGCGCCTCTACGGGAAAACTATGTGAGGGCGTTCACAAAGCGTACACCAGGCGCCTCTACAGGAAAACTATGTGAGAGCGTTCACAAAGCGTACACCAGGCGCCTCTACAGGAAAACTATGTGAGGGCGTTCACAAAGCGTACACCGGGCGCCTCTACGGGAAAAACTATGTGAGGGCGTTCACAAAGCGTACACCGGGCGCCTCTACGGGGATGCTGTCATTTGGTGTTCACAGAGCGCATATTGGGTGCCTCTACAGGAAAACTATGTGAGAGCGTTCACAAAGCGTACACCAGGCGCCTCTACGGAAAACTATGTGAGCGTTCACAAAGCGTACACCAGGCGCCTCTACAGGAAAACTATGTGAGGGCGTTCACAAAGCGTACACCGGGCGCCTCTACGGGAAAACTATGTGAGGGCGTTCACAAAGCGTACACCAGGCGCCTCTACGGGAAAACTATGTGAGGGCGTTCACAAAGCGTACACCGGGCGCCTCTACGGGGATGCTGTCATTTGGTGTTCACAGAGCGCATATTGGGTGCCTCTACAGGAAAACTATGTGAGAGCGTTCACAAAGCGTACACCAGGCGCCTCTACGGGAAAACTATGTGAGGGCGTTCACAAAGCGTACACCGGGCGCCTCTACGGGAAAACTATGTGAGGGCGTTCACAAAGCGTACACCGGGCACCTCTACGGGAAAACTATGTGAGGGCGTTCACAAAGCGTACACCAGGCGCCTCTACGGGAAAACTATGTGAGGGCGTTCACAAAGCGTACACCGGGCGCCTCTACGGGAAAACTATGTGAGGGTGCTCAAAAAGCGTACACCGGATACCTCTACAGGAAAACTATGTGAGGGCGTTCACAAAGCGTAAAAAAGGGCGCCTCTACGGGAAAACTATGTGAGAGCGTTCACAAAGCGTACACCGTGCGCCTCTACGGGAAAACTATGCGAGAGCGTTCACAAAGAGTACACCAGGCGCCTCTACGGGAAAACTATGCGAGAGCGTTCACAAAGCGTACACCGGGTACCTCTACGGGAAAACTATGTGAGGGTTTTCACAAAGCGTACACCAGGCGCCTCTACGGGAAAACTATGTGAGGGCGTTCACAAAGCGTACACCGGGTACCTCTACGGGAAAACTATGTGAGGGCGTTCACAAAGCGTACACCGGGCGCCTCTACGGGAAAAACTATGTGAGGGCGTTCACAAAGCGTACACCGGGCGCCTCTACGGGAAAACTATGTGAGGGTGCTCAAAAAGCGTACACCGGATACCTCTACAGGAAAACTATGTGAGGGCGTTCACAAAGCGTAAAAAAGGGCGCCTCTACGGGAAAACTATGTGAGAGCGTTCACAAAGCGTACACCGGGCGCCTCTACGGGAAAACTATGCGAGAGCGTTCACAAAGCGTACACCAGGCGCCTCTACGGGAAAACTATGTGAGGGCGTTCACAAAGCGTACACCGGGTACCTCTACGGGAAAACTATGTGAGGGCGTTCACAAAGCGTACACCCGGGTACCTCTACGGGAAAACTATGTGAGGGCGTTCACAAAGCGTACACCGGGCGCCTCTACGGGAAAACTTTGCGAGAGCGTTCACAAAGCGTACACCGGGCGCCTCTACGGGAAAACTTTGCGAGAGCATTCACAAAGCGTACACCGGGCGCCTCTACGGGAAAACTATGTGAGGGCGCTCAAAAAGCGTACACCGGGTACCTCTACGGGAAAAACTATATGAGGGCGCGTCACAAAGCGTACACCGGGCGCCTCTATGGGAAAACTGTGAGGGCGTTCACAAAGCGTACACAGTTTTCCTGTAGAGGTACCCAATGTGAGAGCGTTCAAAAAGCGTACACCGGGCGCATATACAGGTGCTGCTGAAATTCGGATTGGAAATCTAGTCCTCAATGACCTCAAAATTTGGCGCTCCATCAATTTTTTTGCGACTCATTTTTGCCGCATGAAAGGAATCAGTTCAGACAGGAGAATATTTACCGACTTGTTTCAGCTCTTCGATCTGCAGAATGACCTGGATAGTAGATTCCACATCGAAGCTTTCGGCTTCCAGACTCTGCAGAATCAGGCGAACGTCCTGCGCACAGAGAGGTGGAGGATCACCGTTAGTTATAAAAATAGTTAAAAAAAAAACCTAAAAAGCATCAAAGTAAAGAAATTCAAACTGAATATTTTTGTTTATTTCCAGCCTGTAAATGGGAATTCCTCCTGCAGGGTGACACCAGCAGTGAATGCAGTGGGACGTTGTCACTTTGTGCCGCCACTGTAGGTGGCCGGCACCAGTACAAGGAGGGGCTCTGTATCTGGGAGCACAGAGTCCTGTTGGATCTCTCCTCCGGTGGCATGAAGACCTCTGTACCCCCCCCCCCCCCCCCCCCCCCCCCCCAACAATGCCACAGGGGTCAAGATGAGGATTTCTTTAATCTAAGGAGGAGGGAGGGAGAATAAAGGGAGAGCCTGAATGGGACCGGAGAAAAAGTCAAACACTGCTTAGCGGCAGAAGGACCTCAAATGGAAAGGTTTTCAATTTTTTTATTTTTTTCATAGCCAGGCAGCAGCGTTCTCATGTTTTATAGCGGGGGTCCCCAAACGTTCTAAACAAAGGGCCAGTTTACTGTCCTCTGCACTTCGAGGGGTCCGGACTCTGGCCAGTGGGAGTAGAGAAGGTCCATATGTCATTGGGAGTAAACCGGGCCTCTTCGTTGGGGTCAGTGGGAGGAATTGTGCCCCTTCATTGGTGTCATTATGAGGAATTGTGCCCCATAACTGGTGTCATTGGGCCCAGTTGTTGGTGTCATTGTGAGGAATTGTGCCCCATAATTGGTGTTACTGGGCCCCATAACTGGTGTCATTGGGCCCCATAATTGGTGTCATTGTGAGGAGTCGTGCCCCATAATTGGCAAGTTTACTGTCCTCTAGACTTCTGGCCAGTGGGAGTAGAAAAGGTCCAAATGTCAGTGGGAGTAAACCATGTTCCTTCGTTGGTGTCAGTTGGAGGAATTGTGCCCCATAATTGGTGTTATTGGGCCCCATTGTTGGTGTCATTGTGAGGAATTGTGCCCCTTCTTTGGTGTCATTGGGCTCCATTGTTGGTGTCATTGTGAGGAATAATGCCCCATAATTGGTGTCATTGGGCCCCATTGTTGGTGTCATTGTGAGGAATAGTGCCCCATTGTTGGTGTCATTGTGAGGAATTGTGCCCCTTCTTTGGTGTCATTGGGCCCCATTGTTGGGGTCAGTGTGAAGAATAGTGCCCCATAATTGGTGTCATTGGGCCCCATTGTTGGTGCCATTGTGAGGAATAGTGCCCCATAATTGGTGTCAGTGGAGGGAATTATGCCCCATAATTGGTGTCAGTGGATAAAATAGTGCCCCAAGGGCCAGATAAAAGCAAGCCAAGGGCCACATCTAGCCCCCCAGCCCCCCCCCCCCCCCCCGAGCCGCAGTTTGGAGACCATCGTTATATATGCCGAAATAAAATTACTTTTCTTAAAGGATCCCAAATTTTGAAAGCTCAGATTACACCGTCAGCTGAATGAGTCAAAAGGGGAAGATTTACGAAATCTGGTGCAGCTCTGCACGGGAGCCAATCAGCTTCTAGCTTCAGCTTGTTCAATTAAGCTTTGGCAATAAAGCCTGGAAGCTGATTGGTTTCTATGCAGAGATTTAGCCCCATGCAGTATTCGTAGCCCCCCCCTCCCCCACACGATCTATTATCACTCTGGTCTCTATTACCGCACAGCCGGTGGCATTGCGCACTTTCTGCACCGCGTCCCCCCGCCGCTCATCTGCCAGATTGGACTTTTGCTTCCCTTTCCGATTGGACTCGTCTTTGGAAAGCATCTGTGGGAGATGAAACAGAACAATCAGATCCCTGACCCGTACCCAGCCCGACCCCCCCGACCCGTACCCAGCCCGACCCCCCCCGACCCGTACCCAGCCCGACCCCCCCCCGAACCGTACCCAGCCCGACCCCCCCCCCGAACCGTACCCAGCCCGACCCCCCCCCGAACCGTACCCAGCCCCGACCCCCCCCCCCCCCCCCGAACCGTACCCAGCCCGACCCCCCCCCGAACCGTACCCAGCCCGACCCCCCCCCCGAACCGTACCCAGCCCGACCCCCCCCCCGAACCGTACCCAGCCCGACCCGTACCCAGCCCGACCCCCCGAACCGTACCCAGCCCGGCCCCCCCCCCCCCCCCGACCCGTACCCAGCCCCAACCCCCCGACCCGTACCCAGCCCGACCCCCCCCCCGAACCGTACCCAGCCCGACCCCCCCCCCCCCCCCCCCGACCCGTACCCACCCCCCCCCCCCCCCGAACCGTACCCAGCCCGACCCCCCCCCCCCGAACCGTACCCAGCCCGACCCCCCGAACCGTACCCAGCCCGACCCCCCCCCCCCCCCCCAGCCCGACCCCCCCCCGAACCGTACCCAGCCCCCCCCCCCCCGACCGTACCCAGCCCGACCCCCCCCCTCGAACCGTACCCAGCCCGACCCCCCCCCCCGACCCGTACCCAGCCCGACCCCCCGACCGTACCCAGCCCGACCCCCCCCCCCCGACCCGTACCCAGCCCGACCCCCCGACCGTACCCAGCCCGACCCCCCGACCCGTACCCAGCCCGACCCCCCCCGAACCGTACCCAGCCCGACCCCCCCCCCCCCCCCCCTACCACCCGACCCGTACCCAGCCCGAACCGTACCCCCCGAAACCCGTACCCAGCCCGACCCCCCCCCCGAACCGTACCCAGCCCGACCCCCCCCCCGAACCGTACCCAGCCCGACCCCCCCCCCCCCCCGAACCGTACCCAGCCCGACCCCCCCCCCGAACCGTACCCAGCCCGACCCCCCCCCCCCCGAACCGTACCCAGCCCGACCCCCCCCCCCCGAACCGTACCCAGCCCGACCCCCCCCCCCGAACCGTACCCAGCCCGACCCCCCCCCCGAACCGTACCCAGCCCAACCCCCCCCCCCCGAACCGTACCCAGCCCAACCCCCCCCCGAACCCTTTGGATTCATGCACTCGATCGAAGTGACCCATTCATTTTAATGGGCTGGCAGCGCATGTTAACCACTTCCTGTCCGGCCCATGTATATAAATGGCCGGACGGTGGCAGTGCAGGGTCAGGTGGCTGTTTATAAACGTCCTCCCCGCCCCCTGCTTGTGCGCGCTCCTTGGGAGCGAGCAGCACCGCGATCCGGTGCCCGCTGTGTCCTCCAGACACAGTGGAATACCGATCGTCGAACGGGACCTCTGTGCGAGGTCCTGATCATGTGATCACCGATTGGCCAATGAGTGATCACATGATCGGGACCTCACGCAGAGGTCCCGCACAGCGATCGGTGTTCCCAGGGAGCGCGCACAGGCTGAAAATGCGGGCGCTGTTTATGAATGGCAGCCCACTCCTGCACTGCTCCTGTCTGGCCGTTTATATACGTTTATATATATATGGGCCGGACGGGAAGTGGTTAAAAAAGCTGCCTACTTTGATACGACTTTCTTGCGACTGGAATGCCATAGAGCAGGGGTGGGCAACTGTGGCCCTCCAGCTGTTGGTGAACTACAAGTCCCATCATGCCTCTGCCTTTGGGAGCCATGCTTGTAACTGTCAGTTTTGCAATGTCTCATGGGACTTGTAGTTCTACAATAGCTGGAGGGCCACAGTTGCCCACCCCTGCCATAGAGTGTAATAAGTTGCATTTAAGTCACACTGGAAATCGCACGACTTTAAAATCGCACCAGTGAGAGAAGAGCCTTCATACCCCATTTATGATTGTGCGACTTGTCATGCGACTTTGAACATCACAGTGATAGGGCAAGTCGTCCTCCATGTTTTCCAATGATAACTATTCATTTATGTGCGACTTAAAGTCGTTCAGACGCTACTTGGGTCCGACTTTCATTCAACTTCAGAGCCGCAGACGTCAATGTTAACCCCAAAAGTTGCATGAAAGTCGTAAAAGCCTAGTCAGTGATCACATGATCGGGTTAAAGCCTAACTAGATTTTTTTTTTTTTTAATAGAATGGGGAAATGTTAAAGCAAACAAAAAAAAATGCAAGGCCTGCCTTGGAAGCTCCACCCCCAAATAAAAAAAAAAAAAAAAAACAAATGAAAGCAAAAAAAACAAAGCCAAAAAAACAAATGAAAGCCAGAAAAAAAAAAAACAAAACCAAGAAAAGAAAAGCCAAAAAAAACTCAAATGAAAGCCAAAAAAAAAAAAAAAAAAACCCAAATGAAAGCCAAAAAAAAAAAAAAAAAAAAACCCCAAATGAAAGCCAAAAAAAAAAAGCAAATGAAAGCAAAAAACAAAACAAAAAATCCAGAAAAAAACAAATGAAAGCCAGAAAAAAAAAACAAAACCAAAAAGAAAAGCCAAAAAAAAAAAAAAAAAAAACCCCAAATGAAAGCCAAAAAAAAAAGCAAATGAAAGCAAAAACAAAACAAAGAAAAGCCAGAAAAAAAAAAAATGAAAGCCAGAAAAAAAAAACAAAACCAAGAAAAGAAAAGCAAAAAAAAAAAAAAAAAAAAAAAATGAAAGCCAAAAAAAAAAGCAAATGAAAGCAAAAAAAAAACAAAGAAAAGACAGAAAAAAACAAATGAAAGCCAGAAAAAAAAAAACAAAACCAAGAAAAGAAAAGCCAAAAAAAAAAAAAAAGCCCAAATGAAAGCCAGAAAAAAAAAAAACAAAACCAAGAAAAGAAAAGACAAAAAAAAAAAAAAAAAACCCAAATGAAAGCCAAAAAAAAAAGCAAATGAAAGCAAAAAACAAAACAAAGAAAAGCCAGAAAAAAAAAACAAATGAAAGCCAGAAAAAAAAAAAAACAAAACCAAGAAAAGCCAAAAAAAAAAAAAAAAAACCCCAAATGAAAGCCAAAAAAAAAAGCAAATGAAAGCAAAAAACAAAACAAAGAAAAGACAGAAAAAAACAAATGAAAGCCAGAAAAAAAAAACAAAACCAAGAAAAGAAAAGCCAAAAAAAAAAAAAAAAAAAAACCCCAAATGAAAGCCAAAAAAAAAAGAAAATGAAAGCAAAAAACAAAACAAAGAAAATCCAGAAAAAAAACAAAAAAAACAAATGAAAGCCAAAAAAAAAAAAACCATGGCTCTCGCGAGGGGCCAGTTATGTCACTGGGAAAACGGAGTTGCTACATTCAAAATGCACACGGCAGGATTTCCTGTCCTTGTGACCCCCATACAAGACATGGGGGGAGCGGTTGTCACCAGGACAGGAAGGCACCGACCGTTATTCATCTTTAACACATGATGGGTATTTCAGTCACTTTGGTACATGAAAGGTGTCGGAGAACCACGAGATTCCCCATCGGCCGTGTGGGCTTCACCTCTGTGTGCAGGTTGGCCGGCGTCTCGGCGTTGTCGTTGACGTGGCGCACGCTGTCGTAGTGCTCCCCGTAGCGGTAGGCGATGTGCAGCTCCTGGATGCCGCTCTTATCTGAACCTCGGATCTGCAATCAGAGACAGAGATAGGCGGAGATTCCTCCGAGTGGCGGGAATAGGGCCCCTCCCCCTACTCTGTGCAAATGGCGGAACATCCGCAGCAGACAGAATGAAATGATTTCTAAAGATGGATCAGAACTACAAACCCCATCGTGTCAGGAGGACTCAGACTACACACACACCAATCCCTCATAGATCCGCACCAAAGATCACACTGAGGATCACATTGTATTGGAGGAAATCCAAATTATTATCGTCATGGAGGAAAAAGAGGGCGATAATCAAAGATCAACTACAAGAAATTGTTACATTTTATATAAATCCTCCCTCCGCCCTCCCCTCCAGTCTTGTACAGGTGTACCGGCTCCTCCCCTCCAGTCTTGTACAGGTGTGCCGGCTCCTCCCCTCCAGTCTTGCACAGGTGTACCGGCTCCTCCCCTCCAGTCTTGTACAGGTGTGCCGGCTCCTCCCCTCCAGTCTTGCACAGGTGTACCGGCTCCTCCCCTCCAGTCTTGCACAGGTGTAGCGGCTCCTCCCCTCCAGTCTTGTACAGGTGTGCCGGCTCCTCCCCTCCAGTCTTGCACAGGTGTACCGGCTCCTCCCCTCCAGTCTTGCACAGGTGTGCCGGCTCCTCCCCTCCAGTCTTGCACAGGTGTGCCGGCTCCTCCCCTTCAGTCTTGCACAGGCGTACCGGCTCCTCCCTCCAGTCTTGTACAGGCGTGCCGGCTCCTCCCCTTCAGTCTTGCACAGGCGTGCCGGCTCCTCCCCTTCAGTCTTGCACAGGCGTACCGGCTCCTCCCCTCCAGTCTTGTACAGGCGTGCCGGCTCTCCTCCCCTCCAGTCTTGCACAGGCGTACCGGCTCCTCCTCTTCAGTCTTGCACAGGTGTGCCGGCTCCTCCCCTTCAGTCTTGCACAGGTGTGCCGGCTCCTCCCCTTCAGTCTTGCACAGGCGTACCGGCTCCTCCCCTTTCAGTCTTGCACAGGTGTACCGGCTCCTCCCCTTCAGTCTTGCACAGGTGTGCCGGCTCCTCCCCTTCAGTCTTGCACAGGCGTAGCGGCTCCTCTCCTGGACTGAGACGTCTTCCTCTGATATCACCGCACACTGGGAGCTTCTCACAATCATGGAGGCTCAGCATCACCTGTGGTCTTCACCTAAGGCCTGCCTAGGACCGCCCACTCCTCCAGACTGATTCTCACTCATCCATGCATTTTGATTTTTGCATATGTTCTCCCACTGTTTGCACAAGGACCGAGGGCTCTTGAGAGGAGCACTGAGGCAGGGTGCTGTGATGTTTTCAGAAAGCTATGTACAGCCCCCTACTGGCCTCTCCCACCAGCCATGATCTGGCTGCATTGCATAAAGAAGCACAGAGACCCAGTGATGACATCACTAAGTATAATATAAGGTATGGAATGAAAACAGAGATATATGGAGGAGGGGCGAGGAGAGACCAGGGAAGACTAAATGTAACCAGATTAAAACTGCAGCTTTAAATCCCTAGGATTTCCCCGCCCACAGATGAGGTGGGTGTGGCAAGTGGGTATGGGTGTGGCAAGTGGGGTGGGTGTGTTTGTTTGGTTTTTTTTTAACGGGAGATGAATTCAGAAAGAACAAAAAGACGTGCTTAAGGCGCACACTGCGAACGGTCGTTGCTTACAATCCGGAGTGTAAAAATGAAACAAAGATCCTGAATGCGTTTCCCTGAACACTCACCTGCCACAGCGGATTGTTGAGTTGGTGAATGACGATATTCACTTGTTTACTGCGTGCAAAAGCCACAATGGCGTCATTTCCGGCGAACGTCCCGGGCTGCGCCAAGTTGTCCACTAGAAGGAGAAAAGATAAGACACTGAGCTCAGGACGGGACCCCAACACTCCTCTGTATACAGACAAGCGCTGCTCATCGCACTAAATGGGGCTTTTATATCTGTTTATGAACTTGTCATTGCTGTATTCTACTATTAGGGGTGCCTAGGACAGGGGAGTCCGGGAGAGGCGTGTCCGGGACAGGGGAGTCCGGGAGAGGCGTGTCCGGGACAGGGGAGTCCGGGAGAGGCGTGTCCGGGACAGGGGAGTCGGCGAGAGGCGTGTCGGGACAGGGGAGTCGGCGAGAGGCGTGTCCGGGACAGGGGAGTCGGCGAGAGGCGTGTCCGGGACAGGGGAGTCGGCGAGAGGCGTGTCCGGGACAGGGGAGTCGGCGAGAGGCGTGTCCGGGACAGGGGAGTCGGCGAGAGGCGTGTCCGGGACAGGGGAGTCGGCGAGAGGCGTGTCCGGGACAGGGGAGTCGGCGAGAGGCGAGTCCGGGACAGGGGAGTCGGCGAGAGGCGAGTCCGGGACAGGGGAGTCGGCGAGAGGCGTGTCCGGGACAGGGGGAGTCGGCGAGAGGCGTGTCCGGGACAGGGGAGTCGGCGAGAGGCGTGTCCGGGACAGGGGAGTCCGGGAGAGGCGTGTCCGGGACAGGGGAGTCCGGGAGAGGCGTGTCCGGGACAGGGGAGTCCGGGAGAGGCGTGTCCGGGACAGGGGAGTCCGGGAGAGGCGTGTCCGGGACAGGGGAGTCCGGGAGAGGCGTGTCCGGGACAGGGGAGTCCGGGAGAGGCGTGTCCGGGACAGGGGAGTCCGGGAGAGGCGTGTCCGGGACAGGGGAGTCCGGGAGAGGCGTGTCCGGGACAGGGGAGTCCGGGAGAGGCGTGTCCGGGACAGGGGAGTCCGGGAGAGGCGTGTCCGGGATGGGGAAGAGGAGTGTGTGGGACGAGAAAGGGGGAGAGTTTCTGGGAGAGTCGCGTCTAGGATAGGGGAATCCAGGAGGCGTGTCCGGGGACGGTGGAGAGGAGTGTCTGGGATGGGAAGGGGGGGGGGATTTTCTAGGAGAGGCGTGCCTAGGATAGGGGAACACAGAAGAGGAGTGTCTAGGATAGGGGTATCCAGGACAGGTGTGTCTAGGATGGGGGAATCCAAAAGAGGCGTGTCTAGGATGGGGGAATCTAGGGGAGGCGTGTCCAGGACGGGGGAGAGGGGAGGTGTCTGGGATGGGGGTGAGGCGTGTCCAAGATCGGAAAGGGGGGAGTTTCCGGGGGAGGCGTGTCTAGGACAGGGGAATCCGGGAGAGGCGTGTCTAGGACAGGGGAGTCCGGGAGAGGCGTGTCTAGGACAGGGGAGTCCGGGAGAGGCGTGTCTAGGACAGGGGAGTCCGGGAGAGGCGTGTCTAGGACAGGGGAGTCCGGGAGAGGCGTGTCTAGGACAGGGGAGTCCGGGAGAGGCGTGTCTAGGACAGGGGAGTCCGGGAGAGGCGTGTCTAGGACAGGGGAGTCCGGGAGAGGCGGAGTGCTCCCGTTTTAGTACACCTCCCCCACTGAGTAGAAGATGCTGACATTGTCGGGTCAATAGGTGGCTGCGGACATTGGAGCTCTCACCATGTTTGTCGAAGGGGACGTCATCTTCCACGAACGGCTCGAAGTCGTTGCGGTGCCGGATCATGTAGTCCGCGGTCTCCTGGCGATGTTTGAGATGGTTCCGCGAGTGGCCCTCCAGCTGGTCCCCCAGGGCCCGGAACAGGCAGTTCCTGATAGAAGAATTATCTTTATAAGACTGCAGCTCTAAAGTGATATTAAAGGTTCCCGATTTTTTTTTTTTTTTAAACAAGGTCATACTGACCTGACTCCTCTTCTCAGGTTCCCCTGCCGGCGCTCCCGGCCCCTCCCCACTGAGTGCCTCCATAGTAATCCACTTGCTCTGGAGGCACATGTGTGCGCTCGCTCCTGAGCTCCTCTATAGGACACACAGAGCGCGGCTTGACCCCACCCCCTCCCTCCTCACTGAATGCGATTGGCAGCCAATGGCTCCCGCTGCTGCCTCAGCCAATGAGGGAGAACCGAGGCTCTTGTGCACACTGCTGGATGGAGATGCGGATCAGGTAAGAATTGTGGGCGGGGACACACAAAAAAAGGTAAAAAAAAAAATTTTTTCTCCTCACACTTGTTTTTATCTTGTTTACACTTGAGGTGCCCTCTGAAGAGCGATCATTGTTGGATTGCGGTTCAGAGGGTGACAGGTAGTGAGGGGGTATGTCACCTCCTCATCGCCAGTTCTGACCCCCTTAACCCAAGACCACTGAGCTGCACGCATTGTACGCAGTTGCTGGGGCGGCCCCATTCGGCTGGCAGTGACGGCATGGCAGCTGAGTAGCGATGCGAAGCATCATGCCCATTGCTTCTCAGCCAGAATTCAACCCCCGGTGCATTTATCGGGCACCAAGTTCTGCCAAACACGACTCGTTCAATAATCGGGGCCCCCGCTGCATTCGCCACGCATGTTGCAATGTCTGCAGTTGGGGCGGCATTTACGAGGGTAAAACTGGTGGCTAAATGGTTAGCACTTCCGCCTGCCAGTACTCGGGTCGTCGGTTCGAATCCCAGCCACGGCACCACCTGCCTGGAGTTTGCATGTTCTCCCTGTGCCTGCGTGGGTTTCCTCCAGTTTCCTCCCACCCTCCAAAGACATGCTGGGAGGTGAATTGGCTTCTAACTTGGCCACAAAATCTGGGTGTACAAAGATGGCGGCGCCTCTGATAGCACAGAAACGGGTGTACCAAGATGGCGTCTCCTCAAATAGACTCTGGGTGTACCAAGATGGCGGCGCCTCGGATAGCACAAAAGCTTACACCCGGTACTGACCCGTCTCCCGGAACTTCCCTCATCCGGAGCCCCAGGACTTGCAGCTGGTTAGTGAAGCTGACAAACTCCTCGGCGTCCACCGTCTCTCCAGCCCGGTTCTTCCGCTCCTTCGCCAGAGCTCGCCGAGCGGCCCGCTCGTCTCTCTTCCTCTCCGTTTCCGCCTTCTTCCCCGGCCGGGGCCGAACGCTCTGCTTCCTGGACATGATAGACAGCCCGACCGAGCCGGGGAACCCGAATTACACTTCCGGTATTCTCTGACAAAACGGCCAACCACGCCCACTTTGTTAAGGATTAGAGGAGGTGTTATTCCGTCTCTATGGTAAACTGGGCGTGGCTGACTGTTCTGGCAAAAATACCGAAAGTCGCATCTATGTTAAAGTGGGCGTGACCGGGAGTGTCTCATCCTCTCTATTGTTCAATGGGCGTGGCTAGCAGTTCTGTCAATTATTTACAGGAAGTGGCGGTCCTTCAGTCTTTGTAGCTCGGGTGGGTTCCGCAGAGACGATCAACAGGGAGGAGTTCGTCAGCTACACCCAGCAGCTCTACTAACAGCTTCCGCCATCTTGGTGCTCCGCTCCCCTTCCACTCCAGCTGCATGATATAACCGTAATTGACTGCCATCTTGGTACACCCACTATGCACATACTTTCGAGTTGGTGCCGCCATCTTGGTACTCCCATGCATCTCTAGACGCATCAGTACGTAATTGGCGGTTATCTTGGTGCACCCATTGTGGTTTCAAGTATCTTATACGTCGCCATCTTTGTGTTCCCTTTACGCTCTTTTGACGCCATCTTGGTACACCCACTGTGCCCTTAGTTCCTTCTAGGATTTAAAGCGCCGCCATTTTTGTACTCCTGCTTCAGTAGAAGCGGACCGTTACCGAGAGGTTGCCATTTTTGTACACCCACTGTGCACATTCACGTATATGTAACCTAGGTTCACACCTTTGCGTTTTGCAGAAACGCGCGCTACAGTCTGTTTAACATCTCCGCATTTTCACCCGGTGTGTTTTTTTGGAAAGGGTTACTTTTTGTTTGTTTTTATTGCAAAAAGTTGCATTTTTGATTCTTTAGACTTCAATGGAAACACTGCAGCCAAGCATGTAGTGTGTTTTTGCTGCGTTTTAAATCTGCCTAGCAACAAGAAAAATAAAATTAAAAAACCCGCTGCAAAATGTGTCAAAAAAACGCAACAAACGCAAACTGCATAGGTGTGAACCGAGCCTTAGTCTAGATTTATACCTATGCAGGTTGCGTTTCTGCTTTGCGTTTTGATGCATTTGTGTTTTTTTCTTGTCGCTAGGCAGATTTTAAATGCAGCAAAAATGCAAGACATGCTTTTCTGCAGCGTTCCCATTGAAGTCTATAGAACTAAAAACTCAACGTTTTGGAACTCCTGAAACATACATGGACCGCCACACCATGCGCCTGTTATCCCTTTTGTATTTAGGTTGTGTTTGGCCTGTTGAACCTCCCCGACAGATGGCAGGTGTTGAAATGAAGCTCTTCCCCTCCATCCTGCTGCAGGAACATCCTCCTATCAGACGTAGATGTAAACTTTATCAGCAGCCATAAAACCTAATCTAACGCGAGTTAAAATTTAATCCACCCGTTGATAAACAGAAGTCAGTAGCCATCTGGAACCAGTTGCCTTGACTGCCTGAATTCACCACAACCGGCAGTAAACGATTCCTGCCAAGTTCAGACATGGGGGAAGAAACGGGCTCTTCTGGGGCCACCAAAAGAAATTTTGGGATGTGACCATCTCACGATCACAGAAACCGAAATCAATTTGGAAGTTGGCGAAACCACAGAAGAAACGCAAGAAGCACCCCCGCCTGCCCTGGCTTCTTCTCCCCCGGAATCCTCCGAGGTACAGCAGATGGTCAACGAGGGTTCGGAGGATTTGAAACCTTCCTCAGCCAAAGTGGAGACCCCGAATTCTTGCCTTACAGATATGGACTGTCCCGTTTGTTTCAGCAGATATGACGTCCACCGGCTCCCCAAAGAACTGTTTTGCAAGCACAGCTTTTGTGCTATATGCCTCAAACTCCTGGTTCGTAATGAAGGGGGCACCTGGAGGATCGCGTGCCCCATCTGCAGGGCGCCCACCACAGTCTTCGGAGGACTTGTATGCACTTTGCAAAACCAGGAGCTGCTGATGAGCCAGTTGCAGAATCCTGAGCCGAAGGTTGTCGTCCCTGAAGCCTCCGGATCGCCGGAGACGACCATAAGGCTGAACCACATTGGCATGACCTGGATCTCAGAGGAGCAAAGGAGCGGGAGACAGTGGTCCGCCGCGAAGAGAATGGTGGTCCTGCTTTTGATGCTGCTGATCGTGCTGATTGTCATTCTTCAGTTTATCTACACTGGGATTATGAAGTGGATGCTGGGAGTTGCTCTGGGGGTGGTCGTTATAATAACCATTCTGCTGTGCTTCAACCCCTACTGGAAGGTGAGATTGCCAGGCACAGCAAGTCAACCGGGACAACAGGACCACCACAAAGGTGGAATAGGACAGCTGACCATGTAGTCCAGATGTCTTCTCCATGTGATACATTCTTTTGTCTCCACTTATAGATCAGACTGTGAACTGTGTGATGTCTACGTGGCAAAGTGTACATGTTCACCTATAGACTCTGCTGACAAAACCGTACATTTATAGGTTGCAACTTTTAGGACAGCGTGGCTTTAAACCACCCTCTTTTGAAACCAAATCCTGTTCCTCTCCTAGCATTCCTCTTTCCTACCAAATCCCATCTGTCTCTCTTACTGTCCCTTTTTTGGACCCAAATCCTTCTGTGTCGCATGTTCTGTCTCCCATTGTAATGTACAGCGCCGAGCGAACTGTTGGCACTTTATAAATACTGTATAATAATAATAAGTGACCTTCGTTCATGTCCAGATCTCTATCTTCCCACCAGCAGAATCTCTTTTGAACCCAGGTCCCCTCGATCTCTCTTCCTGCAAAGACTGTCTTTTGAACCCAGATCCCCTCTGTCCCTTTTACCCTCCAGCAGGCTCTCTCTTTTGAACCCATATCTCCTCAATCTCTCTTCTCTTAATCAAAGTCTGTCTTTTGTGAACCCATATCTCCCCTCTCTTTCCTTCAACAGACTCTCTTTTGAACCCAGATCCCCTCTATTGCTTTACCATCCAGCAGAGTCTCTCTTTTGAACCCATATCTCCTCTCTCTCTCTCTTCTTCATCAAAATCTGTCTTTTGAACCCAGATTTCCTCTCTCTCTCTTCCCTCCAACAGGCTCTCTTTAGAACCCAGATCGCCTCTATTTTACCTCCAGCAGAGTCTCTCTCTTTGAACCCAGATCTTCTCTGTCTCTATTTTGAATTCAGATATCCTTTATCTATCTTCCCTCCAACAGACTGTTTTGAACCCAGATGCCCTCTATCCCTTTACCTTCCAGCAGAGTCTCCCTTTTAAGCCCATATCTCCTCAATCTCTCTTCTCTTCATCAAAATCTGTCTTTTGAACCCAGATCTCCTCTCTCTCCCCCCCTCTCTCCTCTCTCTCTTCTCTCTCTCTCCCCCCCCTCTCTCTCTCTCTCTCCTCTCTCCCTCTCTCTCCCCCTCTCTCTCTCTTCTCTCTCTCCCCCCCTCTCTTCTCTCTCTCCCCCCCCTCTCTTCTCTCTCTCCCCCCCCTCTCTCTCTCTCTCTCTCTCCCCCCTCTCTCTCTTCTCTCTCTCCCCCCTCTCTCCAATCTCTCTCTCTTCTCTCTCTCCCTCCCCCCCTCTCTTCTCCTCTTCTCTTCCCACCCCACTCTCTCTCTCTCTCTCGTCAGCTCTCTCTTCTCTCTCCCCCCTCTCTCTTTCTCTCTCCCCCCTCTCTCTCTCTCTCTCCCCCCCCTCTCTCTCTCTCTCCCCCCCTCTCTCTCTCTCTCTCTCCCCCCCCTCTCTCTCTCTCCCCCCCCTCTCTCTCTTCTCTCTCCCCCCCCTCTCTCTCTTCTCTCTCTCCCCCCCTCTCTCTTCTCTCCCCCCCCCCCTCTCTCTTCTCCCCCCCTCTCTTCCCCCCCCCCCCCCTCTCTCTTCCCTCCAACAGGCTCTCCTTTGAACCCAGATCTCCTCTGTCTTACTTCCAGCATAGTCTCTCTTTTGATCCCAGATCTCCTCTATCTCTATTTTGAATTCAGATCTCCTTTATCTATCTTCCCTCCAACAGACTCTCTTTTAAACACAAATCCCCTCTATCCCTTTACCATCCATCTCTTTTGAACCCATATCTCCTCGATCTCTCTTCCCTCCAGCAGAGTCTCTCTTTTGAATTCAGATCTCCCTAATTTAGTTTCCCTCCAGCAGAGTCTCTCTTTTAAACCTAGATCTCCTCTTTTTATTTATTTTTTTTCCCTCCAGTGGAGTCTTTCTTTTAAACCCATATCCCCTCCATCTTTCTTTTCTTCAACAAAAATCCTCTTTGGCACTCAGATTTCTTCTATCCCTCCATAAATGTCTTATTTTGAACCCAAATCTCATCTGTTCCTTTTTTCTTCAGTATTGTCCCTCTTTTAGATTTGGACCCTTCTGTGCCCCATTCTACGTCGACCTGTACCCATGGGCATTTGAGCAACTTCTGTTAGCAAATGGTCACCTTTCCACATATACCAGTCAAATTTTGTCATGTCATCGCTACATCGATGATATTTTTATGGTTCGGGACGGGTCCATGGATCTGTTATGTCAGTTTCTGGAGGAGCTTAATGCGAATGCCTTCAACTTGAGTTTTACCATGTCCCATCATAAAGAGAGTATTCGATTTCTGGATATGCCAGTCTGGTGCAAACATGAAGGCTGTTTGGGCAGTGCTTTGTATCACAAGGAAACGGCAGGCAATTGCATGCCAACAGTTTCCATCCAACCTCCCCTTAGTAACTTCGATACCATATAGACAATACTTATGGCCCAGGCAAAATTGTTCCAACGATGGTGATTTTTTTGTAGAGAAGAAGACCTACTCCACACACATTTGTTGGCTAGAGGATACAGTCAAACCTTGGCCTAAAAAGATATTTCGCAGAGCCGCTTCTCAATCTAGAAACAATCGGTCCAAGTGTAGTAAGCGTGATACCGCCAGAATCAATTCCACGCCACAGACTCCGGGTCAAGAGAAATAAATATGGGGATCTACCTCCGACCCCATTATTGTGTAGTTTGGACCTGATTCCCCGCAGATTACATATGGAACTACCTC